ATTATTTATACTAAAATAATAGAACAGTACAAAGACAACTATGCCCTTATAGGGCGGCAAAACATAAAACAGCATATATAACACTCAGAAACATAATAAAATTTGGACTCACATAACTACTGTGGTCCCCACCTCCTATCTAACAACTAACATAAAACATCTACTCAGATAACATAATAAAATTTGGACTCACATAACTACTGTGGTCCCCACCTCCTATCTAACAACTAACATAAAACATCTACTCAGAAAAACAGCATAAAACTAATTAATCTTCAAGTTTGAATTTAAGAATCCAACCAAAAATGATAATGTCAATCTTTTAAATAATTAAAAATTCCTACTTTGCCCATGGATGACAATATTGGAGTGTCTATTGACCAAAATACCCCAAAAAGGCTCTTTTGAGGAGAAAAATTTTGGGAGGTATTTCGTTCAATAAACACTCTTGTCATCCATGGGCAAATTAGGTATTTTAAAGTGTTTTAAAACATGAAATCATCATTTCTGATTAGGTTCTTAATGTCAAACTAACAGGAGTCTGTTTGTACAACTTCTCTGAAATGTCAAGGGAGAAATTTGGAGAGGTCAAAGTACAAGGGAGGTTAAATCATTTGTCAGAAACCACAAGGTAGATTCACGTAATTTACCCTAATTAAAAAGCAGCTTTCTAGCAGTCCATACAGATAAAAAAAGCCCCACAAATGCAGCCTAAAGTTTCCATATCCTAGTATGATCTTCCAGGTAATTTCCGCATTTTTCTTTTTATGGATAACAAATTTCTGCATCTACGACTGGACATCTGCATAAACAAGTTTCCTTCATCTTTTTTGGATCAGTAACAGAAACTTTTCATTTATTAAAATTTAAAATAATATACAGCAAGGAAAGCCCAATAAAGATAAAGAAAAAAACAATGGAGCATATCCCAGCTCTCTCTCCCACAACCCTATATTAGAACTCCGCCCAGAAAACCTGATTTCTGTTTACCCCTTGTTTGGCTAAGGAATCATCCATGCCATTTGCCACCCTGATAACCCACTGGACCTTAATTTCCTTACTCCTAGTCAAGCATTTGAATTTCTTCATCAAATTTCTACAATCCAAATCACTTTCTCCTTATTCATTAGCCTGCTTAATATCACTTTTGAATCCCCCTCTATAATTAGGTTGGGCATACCCATTTCTACAGCCTTCAGCACTCCAAACACAGTGCCAGAAATTCAGCTTTTATTGAGTCCCCAATATCAATTGAACCCGAGTACATTGCAACTATATTACCTCCTTCATTTCTCAACACACCCCCTATCCTGGAAAGTCCTGGATTTCCAATACTACCACCAAAGTTCAATTTTAAAAATCCCCTACTCATTTCATCCACAAAAAGCCCTTCCTCTTTTTCTTGAAGATGTTCCTGCTATCACAACCCAATTCCTTGAAATATCATCCACAGAAAAAGGTGAAAATAGCTCCATCATTTTCAACCAAAAAATATGCCCTATGGATGACACAATCAAAGATTTCTTAATCACATCTTTCCTTGCCTTAAAAAAAAATCTAGCATTCTTCTCCTCCCATAGAGTCCATACCATCAATGCCCTTACACATCTCCACATAATACTTCACCTTCTTTTTGGTCATCTCAAAGTTGTTAGAGAAAAAGTTAACCACGCAAGTAGGAGTATTCCACCTGCACCCAAAAAGTGGAAAAAAAAGCCTTCCCCAAATGCTAAGAGCAAATGGACTGGAGACTAGTAAGTGAAAACAAGACTCACCATTAGACTTATAGAGTGTGCACCAATGTGGGGAAATATGCAGTAAGGTCTCCTTTCTTGCAACAAGTCACATGTTTTGACACATTCATGAAAACTTCCCAACAAAGAGCTTCAACCTTAGGGGTGACTAACTTAAACCAAACCTCCTTAACAGGAAAGGGAGGTTGACCTAGAAGATGAGGAACTAAGGCTTTAAAGAAAGAGGCACATGAAAAAAGACCTGAAGCTAGAGGGTGTCAAATCCAGCTATCTTCTTTCTTGGGGGGTCAAGGCAAACCCATCAAGAAAACCCGGCATATTGGAAACAAAATAAATTTCACTCTCAAAGGTTTCTTCTCAATCCTAGATTCCAATCAAACCCTTTGGGAGAATTTGAAGCCATAATAAAATTAGCAATGAGCTTACCCTTTAGGGATGACAAAGAAAGCAAGGACAGAAAAATATCCTTCGGAGGCAAATCCCCCACCCATAAATCTTCCCAAAATTTAACTTTATTACCAGAACATGCATCATATCTCAATGTCCCTTCCATTTTAAGTGGGTTGTGAGAAACTCACTTCAAGTGTGAATCCTGGGCATGATTCCCAGGTGTGAATCCATAAAGAAATGCAGAATCTGCACTAGGAAAATGAGGTGGAACCGCAGTTGGTGGGAGTCCCTGAATGCATGGCACAGAATCACAAGTGCCAATAGTGCAGCAGCACAGTTAATGGGAAAGTGAGTCTGCAAAGTTTCTATCCCCAAAAATTCTAATGTCATCTGCAAATTGTAGGTGAGTGACCACTTCACTGTTCCTTCCTACTCTCCATATCCTTTGATCGTTTGCATTATATCCACTATAGAAATGCCAATTCATAACATAATCACTGAAGGTAAAGAGGAATGGAGACAATGGTTCCCCATAGTGGAGACCCCGAAGTCATGCACCACACCATTTACAATTATTGAAAAGTGATATGATTGTAAACATCCTCTAATCCATTTACACCATCTCTTTCCAAATCCATAGATTCTCAAAACCTCTATCAAAAACTCCCAATCCACAAGATCATAGGCTTTCTCAAGATCCGGTTTGCATATAAAACCTTTCCTCCTGACTCTTCTCTCTTCAACACATTCATTTTCCACCAAAATCTAATCTATTATTTGTCTCCCTTCAACAAAAGTTTCCTTGGGTTGATATTTCCAATATATTAGTAAAAGATAAAGGTAAAACATATAATATATTTCGTTTTATGTTATTTTATCAGTAACAGAAAAAATTACAAATGACAATAGAAGAAGAATAATATACAAAGATGAAAAGGATAGGCAAAATTTAAAAACACCAACAAAAACCACCCCATAGAAGCACCTTCACAAGCAAACCAAAGATGAAACCAGAAAAGCCAATGAGATCATAACCTAGAAAGAATGAAATCCTCCAAACAGATTAAGGACCTGCAACATTGGACCATCCAAAATCTAACTGAACCTACAAAAACAAGTTTAAAAAAAAAAAAAACATCAGAATTCTGCACCATCCCAAACAACACTCAACAACCTCTCCCCCCAGGACAAGCTCTCCCCCTTGATATTTGAGAGAAACCTTTATCCTTACCCTTTTCCTAATTCCTTTCTCTAGCTTAGTTCTTCCAACTTTTTCTAAGAACCTTCCAACTTCTACTGAGAACCACTATTATCTTATGCTTGTTGTCTCTATTTTATTTACAGCTCTTTTTACCAGTTTGTTGTCAACCAGCTCTTTTTACCAGTCAAACTGAAACATATCAGACAGTAAACTTTTAGCATTAGCTAGGGTAGAGACATACATGCATAATGGGTAGTAGTAAAAATGAGTTATGGGCCAACATATGGCCTTAAACAGAATGGAATGGAAAATCAAGAATCATGTAATTGATCCCATATAGTTGGGGTAAAGCTTGGATGATGAAGATGATGATACATACATAATGTCTGTCAAGATAATTTTAGTATTTATACGGTTCAGGTTAGTAAATAAACATCATTTTTTTGATAGGTAATAACAGAATTTATTGATAATAATAATCAATCAATCAGCAAATTAATTGATATTAACTTCACAAAATCCCAATCAAACTAGAAAGAATTTAAGACTGCTTTATATTCGAACCTTTAGCTCTGATTCTTTTAAAGTCTTAATGAAAAATCTTTCATCTTGGGAAAGATAGAAGATACTGCCACTCTTTCCAGGAGAAGAAAGTTCCCTCAGGCTATCACAACCACAGATAGACATCATGTAATCTGCAGCATCTATCTTGAACATCTCCCTTAAGTTCCTGAAAATTGTTAAGAGTAATATGTAGAAGGTTTCTTTTGAGTATATATACAAAATTATACAAGAACTACAGTTAAGGGCCATTTGATAACAGTTAAGTGATTGAACTAAATGTCTTTTTGTATCAATAACAAGTAACTTTTCATTAAAGCTTAATCTTTAAGTACATAAAGGGGGAGATAAACTATCTTAGCTCCCCCAAGAGAGACTGAAGGTCACCCAACAGAAATGAAAAATACAATTAGAAATGAGCCTAGAATAAAGATTCCCTATTCACCCCTTGTTTGGCTAGTCCATCGGAAAAAGAATTAGCACTTCTCTTCACCCAACTACATTTTATATCAATGTCCTTTGTCAGCAATTTAAATTTATTCTTTTCATTGCTGTAGTTCCAGTAGAAAGCTTGCTGAATTAAAAAAAAATATATATATATATGAAATAAAAGGAGTTTCTTGAAGAAAGAAGGAAGAGAGAAGGAGAAGAAAAGAAGTTGAAAAAAAAGGAGAGCAATAATGTGGCCGCACCCTTCACTTATTATTTATATTAAAAATAATAGAGCAGTACAAAGACAACTATGCCCTTATAGGGCGGCAAGACATAAAACAGCATATATAAGACACAAAAACATAATAAAATTTGGACTCACATAATTACTGTGGTCCCCACCTCCTATCTAACAACTAACATAAAACATCCACTCATAAAAAACATCATAAAACTGATTAATCTTCAACAGTTCCAAAGCCCATTCTAACCAACCCACTGCCACCTCAGAATCATCCTCTATGACCAATTTACTAATATTCCGCTTTTTAGCTCTTTGAACCCCTTCCAAAGCCACCAAGATCTTAGCCCTGAGAGAGTCACCTACTCCAATTGGGCCTGAAGAAAGAGCTATTACAGTCCCTTGTTCATTCCTTAGTACTGCCCCAATGCCTGAAAGCCCTAGATTTCCAGCACTACTAGCATCAAAATTCAGTTTGATAAAGCCATTAGTGGGAGTCCAAATTGGACTGGGAATCTTCTGAGCCAGAACTGAACTCACAATCTCTTTTCACTTTCTTAGCAAGTCATTCAATGTGAAGTCTGTGAACATATCCAAAGATTTCATCTAGTATACCACCCTTATGAAGATTGTTAGAGTGAGCCGAATAGGGGTAGTTTAGTAATCTCATGTCAGTTAAGTACTTTGCTTATGTGGCTGTTTTATTAGAGTACTCTGCCCCACACTTAAGTGAGGGCAGTTTAGTCTTTGTAAGTGTAATAAAAACCTAATAAACATTAGGGGGTCGACTGACTGGGTGACTAATCAGTTTCGACTAAACCCTCCAGTTCTCTCTTTCTCTTGTCTTCTTCCTCATCTTCTTCTTCCTTCTTCACTGGTTCGAATTACTGTAGCTGCTCCAAAACAAAGATCACTTCTATAACATTTTCTAGGCTTCTCTTTTTGTCTGAAAAGATTCTTGAGTTTCTTTCTTCCCATATAGTCTAGCAAACAGCCACCCTTACACATCTCCACATGGTCCTACCACTTTTCCTTGGCTAGCTGAAGGAAGAAGAAGCGAACAAGCTTTGCACATTCAGTGGGGGATTAGAAAATTGGCAGGAGATTAGTAAGTGGTAACCAGTCTCACCATCACTCTTACAGAGAACACACCAATGTGGAGATAAACAACTTTTGGGTCTCTTTCTTTGAAGCAAATCACTTATGTTATCTTATTCTCCCATCTTTTATGAATTGGTTATTTGAGTTACAAAATGGCTGAAGCTGATGTTGGGTTGATAACTATATCATTGAATATTTTATTATTTGATTATTTTATCCACCATTAGGCAAAAGCAACAAGTTATTCAGTTCACCCACTTAGTGTGGAGACACTTGATATACTATAGTCCTATGGTCCCTGTTGTACTGTAGTCTTTGTCTCTTTTTTATCTTTCAGCCCTCCAAGGGCTCTATTTGTAATTCTTTATTTTTTTTCTCCTTTAGCCCTTCAAGGGCTCCTTTGTTAGATTCCCCTGAAATCTTTGGTGTTCTCACAAACTGGAAGATTGACATGGTATCAGTGCAGGCCATATTCACAAGCTGCTGATTCAATTAACTTCTTGGGTGATCAAAGGATTACTTGAGGAGTATTTTGATTACTATCAAATTCTTGTTGAAAGTTATTTGAGGACTGTTTTAATCAGCCGAAGCTGATAGGTTTTTCTGGAAAAGACGCCAGCAGGTCAGTTTTTCTTTGTTTTCTCTAAATCGGCTAATTCAATCAGCCTAAAACTTTGTAGTTGGTATCACCTGGCCTCCTTTAACTAACCATTAATCTGCTTTGAAGACTGGATCGGATTTGATAGGGTTTTGATCCCATCTTGTAATCCAGTCCTGAAACCTTCCTTTTTGGGATTGAGATCGATATAGCCCTATTGTTCTGAGATTTCTGCAGCATAATCTCAGTTTATTTGGTGAAGTATTAATTCAGTGTTGCTCTTAAACTATTACTTTTTTTTTATCAATAAGAAACTTTATTAATTAAGAGAAAAATTAAGAAGCTTTAGGTACAATAAGGGGGAGATAAAAAGTCTTAGCTCCCCATCAGCAAATTACAATGAAAGAAGATTAAAAATTAGCCCAAAAGATAGACTCCCTATTCACCCCTTGATTGGCCAACCCATCTGCATAAGAATTAGCGGTCCTCTTCACCCAACTGTATTGTATCTCAACCCCTACATAGCCATAAAATTTTTTTCTTTTCATTATTGTAGCTCCACAAGCCACTGTCTTCTTTCTTCAACCAGCTAATCACCACCTTTGAACCGCCTTCCAAAATCAGCCGACTGATATTTAGTTCCCTTGCTCTTTGAACTTCCATAGCTGCAAGGATCTCAGCCCTAAGAGAGTCACCTTCTCCAATAGGGCCTGAGAACAGAGCAATAACAATCCCTTCCTCATTCCTGAAAACTCCCCCAATCCCAGAGGGCCCTGGATTCCTTAGGCTACTGCAATCTCTTTCCAGTTTCTTAACAGGTCAGCTATAGGAAAGTCCGAAAACAGTTCCGTAGTTTTTAGCTAGTGGGCCGCCCTTAAAAGTATAAGGTCTAATAGATCTTCCAGGGATCTTTCCTTTTCTGAAAAAATTCGAGAGTTTCTTTCCTCCCACAGTGACCAACACATGGCTGCCCTAATACTCCACATCATCTTCCCTCGCTTCTTAGGCCATCTCAAAAACGAAGGGGAGAACAACCTTTGGACACTCTCAGGAGGGTTCCAAGTGCACCCAAAGAGGGAAAGTACCCACTCCCAAACAGTTTTATGTAACCTTACAAGAAACCATAAGTTGGTAACCGGATTCCCCATCATCTTTACAAAGAGAACAGCTATTAGGAAGTAAACAAAAATTGGGTCTCTTTTTCTGAAGTAGATCATTTGTATTTATTCTTTCCAGGAAAATTTCCCAACAAAAAAACCCAACCCGAGGAGGAATGGGCTTGCTCCAAACTTCCTTAGTCAGGAAGGACACAACAGGAAGGACAGATGACTAAGTTAAGGTTTCAAAAAGCAAAGCACAAGAGAAGGTTCCAGAGGTAGAAGGGATCCAAATTCTGGTGTCTTCCCTATTAGGATCTAGGAAAATATTCTCAAGGATGGCTAACAGAGGTAAGAGGCTGTCCAATTCTGTATCCCTAATTTCCCTTCGCAGGCCAAGGTTCCACCCAAAACCAGAAGTGGAGTCTTAAGGAACTAAAAAAGAAGAGATAGGTTCATTTTTCAAATGTGACAGAGCATATAAGGAGGGAAACTGGTCCTTCAGAAGTGAAACCCCAACCCAAAGATGTTCCCAGAATTTTATTCGGTTGCCAGAGTTAACGCCATACCTGATCCAAGGGGAGAAAACTAGAAGATGATCATGAATGAATTTCCACGGAGAAGCAGCTGTAGCCCTTGCCACAATTCTAGAATCCCATCCGTTGTCTTCCAACCCATGTATGCTAGCCACGATCCTTGTCCACAATTTTTCCATTTCCATTGTGAACCTCCACAACCATTTTCCCAACAATGCCATAATCCTTTTCTTGATGTTTCCAATCCCAAGGCCTCCTAGATTTTTACCTCTAATTACCACCTCCCATCTCACCCTATGGTCTCTCTTCTCCTCTCCAGGCTCCCACAGAAAATTTCTCATTAATTTTTCCAATAAGTTGGAGACCTTAGTGGGGATCTTAAAAGGTTAGACATCTGCTCAAAGAGTTGTATTGCTAATTGCAAATTCCGGATCCAGCTTATATTCCCACCCTCACAAAACAAAATTGTGTCATTTGCAAACTGGAGATGTGTCAGTGGTACCTCCTCCCTTCCAACTCTCCACCCTTTTATCAGATTCCTCGAGTCTGCTCTATGGATCAATCTCCCAAGAACATCAGTAATCAGGGTAAAAAGAAAGGAGGAGAGCAAGTTTCGTTGTCTTATACCTCTCAAAGCAGGAAAGAAGTCAACCACCATTCCATTCACCAAGATAGAATAGTGACAAGTCCTAATACAGCCCCAAATCCATTTACACCACCTTTCTCCAAAGCCATAGCTTCTCAACACCTCCACTAAAAAAGACCAATCCACTAGGTCATAAGCCTTCTCCAAATCCAATTTGCATTCCACTCCCTTCTTCTTAGATTTCCTTAAGCTCTCCAGACTCTCATTTACAATGAGGATTTGATCAATGATCTGTCTTCCCGCTACAAAGGCTCCTTGGTTGGGTGCAATAATAGAGGGGAGGACCTTCTTTATACTGAGAGACAACACTTATGCAATTATTTTATACAAGCTATTCACCAAACTGATAGGTTTGAAATCCTTAGGTTTGTGATGCCTCTTTCTTCTTTGGGACCAAAGCAATGAAAGTTGAGTTCAAGCCCGGATTAATTATTCCCCTATTGTGAAACTCCTCGTGGATAATCCCAGCAATCTTGATAAAAAACCATTGTAAAGCCATCTGGGCCTGGAGCTTTTGT